CCAAGTGACCCCTTTGGGTGCAAAATGACCCTTCCCCCTTATTTGGGCTGCCAAGCCCCATCCCTTGGGGTGCTGAGTGTCCCCTCCCAGGGATGCAGAGTGACCTCCTGGGGTACAAAGTCACATCCTTTGGAGTACAAAGTTCTTCTCCCCGCCCAAGATTCAGAGTCACGTCCCTCGGGGTGCAAAGTTCCCCCTCCCAGGGGACAAAATCACATCCCTTGGGGTACAAAGTGACCCCTCCAGAGTGCAAAACAGCCCCAGGGGGTGGCACTGGCCGTGCCACGGGTGGGCTGGGGACATGGGGCCGTTGGTGTCACCGCGCTGCCCACGCAGCCGCCAGGCTGCCGCCGTGCCGAGCCGTGCCGAGCCACACCCCAAAGGTGGCTGCGACTCAGGGCCGGGCTGAAACAGCCCCAGATATCCTTTAAGTTCCTTCCTGTGGAGGTGGGGGCAAATCCCAATCAGTTAATGTTTGCAGTGCCCTTTGAGATAACCGCGCCGGGGCAAGGCTGCGCCGCCGAGCCGAGCCGGTGAGGCAAACCCCGCTGCCTCCAGCTGCTGCAGAGGGGGAAAATGTCCCCAAAACCAGGGCAGCCAGGCCATGGGGCACCGGGGATCCACACCAGCTGGGGCAGGGAGGGACCCTGGTAGCCTTTCTCAATATTTGGGGTAGGGAGGGACCCCAATAGCCTTAGAGAGGGGGACAGGGAGAAACCCCAAGAGCCAGAACAGGAAGGGACCCTCACAGTTGCAACAGGGAGAGACCCCAAGAGCCAGAACAGGAAGGGACCCCAAGAGTTGCAACAGGGAGAGATCTCAATTGCCATGGCAGGGAAGGGGACCCCAATAACCAGCACAGAGAAGGGACCTCAGTAACTGGACAGGGAGAGGACCCCAATATTTGAGGCAGGACAGAAACCCCAACTAGGCAGGGCAGGGAGTGGAGCCTGATGGTGGGAGCAAGGAAAAACCCCAATTTCAGGGGAAGGACCCCAATATCCAGGGCAGGGAGTGGAGCCTGATAGTGGGAGCAAGGAAAAACCCCGATTTCAGGGGAAGGACCCCAATATCCAGGGCAGGGAAGGAATCCTGCCTTCAAACCAGGGAAAGGAGCCTGATATTGGAACAGGGAGGRGAGCTGATAACTGGAGCAGGGAAGGGACCCCAGTATCTGAGTCAGGGAGGTCTCGCAGGCAAACTTTGCTCTGCAGTGGAGGGAAGCGAGGGCTCTTATCTGATGGGGGAGCCGGGCCGGGGGCGAGGAGCCGGAGCCGGGGCGTGGAGCTGCACCTGGCACTGGCCTGCCTCGATAAAGAGGTGATAGCAGAGATAAGGCCCAGCAGCAATAACGGCCACTAAAGCTTTCAGCGCGATGGATAAAAATCGATATGCCAGGCACTTTGATTTATAGCCAAAAATAATAGGACTTTTATACCCGGTGATTGATTTATTTGATGTTAATCATCRCGCTTATCACCTGTATTAATAATCTGCAATGGCGGTGACGTCACCCCGGGGCGGCCGCGGTGGCGCCGATCGATTGGGACGCCCGGGACGCCAAGGCAAACATGTACTTTGGGCACTAATCTCCCACACTGTCATATGCAGATTGGCTTTATCAGCCCATCTCCAGCAGCAGTTAATGGGGAAAATAATTGTTATCAAGTTGCTATGAATACGCCCGCAAATAGAGCCGTGAGGGGAGCGGGGCTCAGCCCGGGTGACGGGGAAAGGTTCGGGGTGGGTGGGCTTGGCATTGCCAGGGGGATGGGGGCTTTGGGATGKGAATCCCCTCCCTGTGCCCATCCCAGCCYGGTGGTYSTGACCCYCRTGAAATGCTGCCTSTGAAATTCCCCACTGTGACATCCTGCCTTTCCCCTCSTGCTGCAGAGTCCAGAGATGCTGCAGAGAGTCCAAAGGAGCCCGAGAAGCCGGATCCTGGAGAAAGCCCCCAGGAGCAGGAGACGTGGAAYGGGCCAGGTGAGTCCCTGGTGTGTGGGTGCTCATCCCACTCCATCCCAGTGTCCCAACTGGATCTGCTGGAGCCATTCCCCTCTTGCAAACACCGGTGTGAGGAGGACTGGGAGCACTGGGAGCTGCAAACCCCAGCGTTTGTGCAGGAGGGGAGGTGTGAGGTGATGGCTGTCATCTCCCACATCCCTGAGGTGCTGTTGGGATGGTGAAACCCACGGTGGGAGCAGCAGGGATGCCATTCCCAGAGCTGGCACCGCTCTCCCTGGCACTGGCAGGGCTTGGACCCGTCCTGCGCCGCACCAGGGCGCTTCACCAGCATCGTGACAACCACAAGAGCGACGCTGGGGCGGTTTGGTGATGGTTATCAAAACCCCAGGGAGCGAATTCAGCCTCTATCTCCCCCTGGTATCTCTGTGCCTGGCCCTGTGGGCACCCCCTGCCCTATCGCCGCTATCTCCAAAGCCACGGGGTTACGGGGCTGTGCTGCACGGATTCACGGAATCACGGAGGGTCTGGGGTGGGAAGGGAGCTCTGGGGGTCACCCACCACCCCCTGTGCCCAGGCAGAGCCACCTGGAGCGGGTGGCACAGGAATACGTCCCGGGGGGTTGGAGCATCTCCAGACAGGGACACTCCTCACCCTCCCTGGGCAGTGCTCCAGGCTCTGCCACCCTCCATGGGAAGCTCTTCCTCAGAATTTCCTGTGGTGGGTTCATTTCCATCACTCCTTGATTGGGATTGTGGGTGCCCAACACTGGGAGCAGCTCCTGGCAGGGGTGGGGATGGCACCGTGGGGACCCCCGAGGGTGGCTGTGCCACATCTCAGCCCCGCTGGTGCCACCAGGGCAGCTCCCAGCTGGTGAAGGATTGGAGTAGGGCATTAGGGAGTGCTGAGCCCAGCACGGGATGGGTGCACGGGGCATTCCCGGTGTCCCCAAGGCTACCAGGCTCCTGGGAAGTGTTGGCTGCCAGCACACGTGCTGCCGCAGCTGCCCCGGTCCCCACGGAGCCCCGCTCCCCTTCCCGCCCGGCCGAGTGCAGGGGAAGCTCCCGCTGATATCCCGGCCCTTCCTGCGTGCCGGCCAGGAAGGAGCTGCGAGGCCACCCCCGGCTCCTCCTTATCGGCTCCGCAGCCCTTTGCCCCCGGCGCTCCCGGGATCGCGGTGCGGGGCGGGAGGGGGCTGATCCAACCCCCCCAATCCCCAAAATCCCAAATTCCCGCACCATATCGCACCCCCAGCCCCCAAAAAGAGCCGGGCAGCCYGGCAGAAGCCATGCCTGCCCTCTCAGAGCGGGTGATCTGCACTCCSCGTGGCACAGAAATGTCATTATCGSCCGGCACAGCCCATCTCCGTTTTCTAATTGCGGCAGCGCGGGGGTCCGGCGATGCCGCGCCGATAGCGGGCTCCAACCGCCGCGGCCCMGGCTATCAGGGGCTCTGCAGGCTCGCCCCTTATCGGGGATGGAGCTGSCCGGGAGGGGAGCTCCGAGCTGCCCGAATTGTCCGCTTTATCTGGCGGGATGTGCCGGGTGGCGGCCGCGGGGATGCGCCGCGTTTGGGGGGGATTTGTTCATGCCCTGAGAATCCTCCCCGGTTCTGGGGCATTTCTGGGTCACCCCGTGGTGGGTGGGTGATCCCAAAGTGCTTCTCGCCGTTCCTGAGGGGATGTGGCCTGCCAGGACCCCGCCCTGGGCTCTCCTTGGCCCCGCTGGCAGGAGGGAGGAGGAGGATTTTGGTTTATCTGTGACCTTGTTCCCCGGAGGGGGCTGCAGCTCGTCTGGCTGACGGGCACATTCCCAGGAGCTGGAGGCTGAAATCCTGAACTTGGGAGCTCTTACAGATGTGCCACCTCTTCATCCAGGCTGCTGGGACACCCTGGCCAGGTTCTGCTTCCCCGTGGGATTGCGGGATGGAGCGTGGCCGTGCTTTGTGCTCACTCCATCCTCTGGCAGGGCTGGAGACAGGATGTCCATCCTTCCCAGGTTCCCCCAAACCATCCCCAACTCCCCCAAACCCTTCCCCACAGCCCCTCCAGCCATGGCTCCATTTTCCATCTTTCCCACTCGTTCTTGTTTGCTCTGGAGAAGGGTTGGTAGCAGAGAATTTCAGGAGCACCCCCAAACTCCAGCTCCCACCCCAAAGCTGCCCCATCCCTGCCCAGCCAACCTCAGCRATTCCAGCCCCTTTTCCCAGGAGGAAAAGATGAAAAGCTCTGGCAGATTTCAGATGGAATTTTGGGGCAGGAGTGGAGCAGAGCAGAGCCCTGCTGAGGGCTGGGCTGTTCCCACTGATGAGCCAGCAGAGAATTCCCAGCAGGCTGGGATTCCCCAATTCCTGCCTTCCCATCGGGTGGGATGCAGCTTTTTGCTTTTGGGAACACCAGGGACAGGATGGAGGAGCCAGGACCAGACCCGGGGTGAATTTTGCACGGTCCCACCTGGCTGTGTCCCACCAAATTCCCAGGGAATTCTTCACCCCTTTCCCCACACCAGCATCACTGTTTGCAGCTCCACCTTGCTGAACCCTGAGCCCTGCTGCTGCCTTGCTTGTTGGGGCTTTATTGAATAATTAATTACTAATTATGAAATATTAATATTAATATTCTGGGMGGTTATGATGGCTCTGGGTTGATGACAGAGCTGGGGCTCCTCTCCCCATCCCSAAACCCATCCTCACCCCCATGCTCCAGCACTGGCATATCAGGATGGCACAGAGCAGCTCCTCATTTTTTTTTTGTGCATCTAATTAAAACTCCCAACTCCTTTTTTCACCCCTTTTCTCCCCGCTCCCTTTCGGTTGTGTTTATCTCTCCCTTCAATAATCTCCGGCYGCCCGGGGTTTGTCTGGAAACCTCAAGGGTTTTTATCGGGGCGAGCAGGGCACAATGGGGGGGACGGCTCGTCCGGGGGGGGACACGGCTCCCGCCACATCTGCCCCATCCCTCCCCCTCCACCCTGGTATGTGTGGGTGGGAAAAATTATTCCAGCTATTCCCTTTATCGCTGGGAGCAGAGCTGTGCTTGTGGGAGATTGCTGGGGGATGGGGGAGTTAGGATTGAGGGAATTGCATCCCCATCCCAAATCAGGGGGTGCTCAGCACCCTGAAATCCTTCCCCTGCTCGGAAAATCCTCCTCCTGAAGGCAGCGGGATGGGGGTGATCCCAGCCGTGGGGGTGGCACCTGTCCCAGATTTGGGACATGCAAGGGTCCCTGTCCCTGCTGGGGGGTGTCCCACATGTGCCTGGGGTCACTGCAGGGTGAGGGGACAGCTTGGGGACACTCATAGGGTGAGGAGATGCTCCGACTGGTTTGGGGA